GAGGGAGAGGGAGCACATGTATCTCACAGCAGCTGCATGTTCGCCCAGCACGTGCAGGCTTGACGCCTTGGCGTGCATGATCTCGAGCTCGCCCGGCCAGCGGGGTGTGCACATGCATGCAGGTGAGAGCATGGCATGGGCATGGTGTTGTTGGTGCATGTGAGGGAGAGGGAGAGGGAGAGGGAGAGGGAGCACATGTATCTCACAGCAGCAGCATGTTCGCCCAGCACGTGCAGGCTTGACGCCTTGGCGTGCATGATCTCGAGCTCGCCCGGCCAGCGGGGTGTGCACATGCATGCAGGTGAGAGCATGGCATGGGCATGGTGTTGTTGGTGCATGTGAGGGAGAGGGAGAGGGAGAGGGAGAGGGAGAGGGAGAGGGAGCACATGTATCTCACAGCAGCTGCATGTTCGCCCAGCACGTGCAGGCTTGACGCCTTGGCGTGCATGATCTCGAGCTCGCCCGGCCAGCGGGGTGTGCACATGCATGCAGGTGAGAGCATGGCATGGGCATGGTGTTGTTGGTGCATGTGAGGGAGAGGGAGAGGGAGAGGGAGAGGGAGAGGGAGCACATGTATCTCACAGCAGCTGCATGTTCGCCCAGCACGTGCAGGCTTGACGCCTTGGCGTGCATGATCTCGAGCTCGCCCGGCCAGCGGGGTGTGCACATGCATGCAGGTGAGAGCATGGCATGGGCATGGTGTTGTTGGTGCATGTGAGGGAGAGGGAGAGGGAGAGGGAGAGGGAGCACATGTATCTCACAGCAGCAGCATGTTCGCCCAGCACGTGCAGGCTTGACGCCTTGGCGTGCATGATCTCGAGCTCGCCCGGCCAGCGGGGTGTGCACATGCATGCAGGTGAGAGCATGGCATGGGCATGGTGTTGTTGGTGCATGTGAGGGAGAGGGAGAGGGAGAGGGAGAGGGAGAGGGAGCACATGTATCTCACAGCAGCTGCATGTTCGCCCAGCACGTGCAGGCTTGACGCCTTGGCGTGCATGATCTCGAGCTCGCCCGGCCAGCGGGGTGTGCACATGCATGCAGGTGAGAGCATGGCATGGGCATGGTGTTGTTGGTGCATGTGAGGGAGAGGGAGAGGGAGAGGGAGAGGGAGAGGGAGCACATGTATCTCACAGCAGCTGCATGTTCGCCCAGCACGTGCAGGCTTGACGCCTTGGCGTGCATGATCTCGAGCTCGCCCGGCCAGCGGGGTGTGCACATGCATGCAGGTGAGAGCATGGCATGGGCATGGTGTTGTTGGTGCATGTGAGGGAGAGGGAGAGGGAGAGGGAGAGGGAGAGGGAGCACATGTATCTCACAGCAGCTGCATGTTCGCCCAGCACGTGCAGGCTTGACGCCTTGGCGTGCATGATCTCGAGCTCGCCCGGCCAGCGGGGTGTGCACATGCATGCAGGTGAGAGCATGGCATGGGCATGGTGTTGTTGGTGCATGTGAGGGAGAGGGAGAGGGAGAGGGAGAGGGAGAGGGAGCACATGTATCTCACAGCAGCAGCATGTTCGCCCAGCACGTGCAGGCTTGACGCCTTGGCGTGCATGATCTCGAGCTCGCCCGGCCAGCGGGGTGTGCACATGCATGCAGGTGAGAGCATGGCATGGGCATGGTGTTGTTGGTGCATGTGAGGGAGAGGGAGAGGGAGAGGGAGCACATGTATCTCACAGCAGCTGCATGTTCGCCCAGCACGTGCAGGCTTGACGCCTTGGCGTGCATGATCTCGAGCTCGCCCGGCCAGCGGGGTGTGCACATGCATGCAGGTGAGAGCATGGCATGGGCATGGTGTTGTTGGTGCATGTGAGGGAGAGGGAGAGGGAGAGGGAGAGGGAGAGGGAGAGGGAGCACATGTATCTCACAGCAGCAGCATGTTCGCCCAGCACGTGCAGGCTTGACGCCTTGGCGTGCATGATCTCGAGCTCGCCCGGCCAGCGGGGTGTGCACATGCATGCAGGTGAGAGCATGGCATGGGCATGGTGTTGTTGGTGCATGTGAGGGAGAGGGAGAGGGAGAGGGAGAGGGAGCACATGTATCTCACAGCAGCTGCATGTTCGCCCAGCACGTGCAGGCTTGACGCCTTGGCGTGCATGATCTCGAGCTCGCCCGGCCAGCGGGGTGTGCACATGCATGCAGGTGAGAGCATGGCATGGGCATGGTGTTGTTGGTGCATGTGAGGGAGAGGGAGAGGGAGAGGGAGAGGGAGAGGGAGCACATGTATCTCACAGCAGCTGCATGTTCGCCCAGCACGTGCAGGCTTGACGCCTTGGCGTGCATGATCTCGAGCTCGCCCGGCCAGCGGGGTGTGCACATGCATGCAGGTGAGAGCATGGCATGGGCATGGTGTTGTTGGTGCATGTGAGGGAGAGGGAGAGGGAGAGGGAGAGGGAGAGGGAGCACATGTATCTCACAGCAGCAGCATGTTCGCCCAGCACGTGCAGGCTTGACGCCTTGGCGTGCATGATCTCGAGCTCGCCCGGCCAGCGGGGTGTGCACATGCATGCAGGTGAGAGCATGGCATGGGCATGGTGTTGTTGGTGCATGTGAGGGAGAGGGAGAGGGAGAGGGAGAGGGAGAGGGAGCACATGTATCTCACAGCAGCAGCATGTTCGCCCAGCACGTGCAGGCTTGACGCCTTGGCGTGCATGATCTCGAGCTCGCCCGGCCAGCGGGGTGTGCACATGCATGCAGGTGAGAGCATGGCATGGGCATGGTGTTGTTGGTGCATGTGAGGGAGAGGGAGAGGGAGAGGGAGAGGGAGAGGGAGCACATGTATCTCACAGCAGTTGCATGTTCGCCCAGCACGTGCAGGCTTGACGCCTTGGCGTGCATGATCTCGAGCTCGCCCGGCCAGCGGGGTGTGCACATGCATGCAGGTGAGAGCATGGCATGGGCATGGTGTTGTTGGTGCATGTGAGGGAGAGGGAGAGGGAGAGGGAGAGGGAGAGGGAGCACATGTATCTCACAGCAGCAGCATGTTCGCCCAGCACGTGCAGGCTTGACGCCTTGGCGTGCATGATCTCGAGCTCGCCCGGCCAGCGGGGTGTGCACATGCATGCAGGTGAGAGCATGGCATGGGCATGGTGTTGTTGGTGCATGTGAGGGAGAGGGAGAGGGAGAGGGAGAGGGAGAGGGAGCACATGTATCTCACAGCAGCTGCATGTTCGCCCAGCACGTGCAGGCTTGACGCCTTGGCGTGCATGATCTCGAGCTCGCCCGGCCAGCGGGGTGTGCACATGCATGCAGGTGAGAGCATGGCATGGGCATGGTGTTGTTGGTGCATGTGAGGGAGAGGGAGAGGGAGAGGGAGAGGGAGAGGGAGCACATGTATCTCACAGCAGCAGCATGTTCGCCCAGCACGTGCAGGCTTGACGCCTTGGCGTGCATGATCTCGAGCTCGCCCGGCCAGCGGGGTGTGCACATGCATGCAGGTGAGAGCATGGCATGGGCATGGTGTTGTTGGTGCATGTGAGGGAGAGGGAGAGGGAGAGGGAGAGGGAGAGGGAGCACATGTATCTCACAGCAGCAGCATGTTCGCCCAGCACGTGCAGGCTTGACGCCTTGGCGTGCATGATCTCGAGCTCGCCCGGCCAGCGGGGTGTGCACATGCATGCAGGTGAGAGCATGGCATGGGCATGGTGTTGTTGGTGCATGTGAGGGAGAGGGAGAGGGAGAGGGAGAGGGAGAGGGAGCACATGTATCTCACAGCAGCAGCATGTTCGCCCAGCACGTGCAGGCTTGACGCCTTGGCGTGCATGATCTCGAGCTCGCCCGGCCAGCGGGGTGTGCACATGCATGCAGGTGAGAGCATGGCATGGGCATGGTGTTGTTGGTGCATGTGAGGGAGAGGGAGAGGGAGAGGGAGAGGGAGAGGGAGCACATGTATCTCACAGCAGCAGCATGTTCGCCCAGCACGTGCAGGCTTGACGCCTTGGCGTGCATGATCTCGAGCTCGCCCGGCCAGCGGGGTGTGCACATGCATGCAGGTGAGAGCATGGCATGGGCATGGTGTTGTTGGTGCATGTGAGGGAGAGGGAGAGGGAGAGGGAGAGGGAGAGGGAGCACATGTATCTCACAGCAGCAGCATGTTCGCCCAGCACGTGCAGGCTTGACGCCTTGGCGTGCATGATCTCGAGCTCGCCCGGCCAGCGGGGTGTGCACATGCATGCAGGTGAGAGCATGGCATGGGCATGGTGTTGTTGGTGCATGTGAGGGAGAGGGAGAGGGAGAGGGAGAGGGAGAGGGAGCACATGTATCTCACAGCAGTTGCATGTTCGCCCAGCACGTGCAGGCTTGACGCCTTGGCGTGCATGATCTCGAGCTCGCCCGGCCAGCGGGGTGTGCACATGCATGCAGGTGAGAGCATGGCATGGGCATGGTGTTGTTGGTGCATGTGAGGGAGAGGGAGAGGGAGAGGGAGAGGGAGAGGGAGAGGGAGCACATGTATCTCACAGCAGCAGCATGTTCGCCCAGCACGTGCAGGCTTGACGCCTTGGCGTGCATGATCTCGAGCTCGCCCGGCCAGCGGGGTGTGCACATGCATGCAGGTGAGAGCATGGCATGGGCATGGTGTTGTTGGTGCATGTGAGGGAGAGGGAGAGGGAGAGGGAGAGGGAGCACATGTATCTCACAGCAGCTGCATGTTCGCCCAGCACGTGCAGGCTTGACGCCTTGGCGTGCATGATCTCAAGCTCGCCCGGCCAGCGGGGTGTGCACATGCATGCAGGTGAGAGCATGGCATGGGCATGGTGTTGTTGGTGCATGTGAGGGAGAGGGAGAGGGAGAGGGAGAGGGAGAGGGAGCACATGTATCTCACAGCAGCTGCATGTTCGCCCAGCACGTGCAGGCTTGACGCCTTGGCGTGCATGATCTCGAGCTCGCCCGGCCAGCGGGGTGTGCACATGCATGCAGGTGAGAGCATGGCATGGGCATGGTGTTGTTGGTGCATGTGAGGGAGAGGGAGAGGGAGAGGGAGAGGGAGAGGGAGCACATGTATCTCACAGCAGCTGCATGTTCGCCCAGCACGTGCAGGCTTGACGCCTTGGCGTGCATGATCTCGAGCTCGCCCGGCCAGCGGGGTGTGCACATGCATGCAGGTGAGAGCATGGCATGGGCATGGTGTTGTTGGTGCATGTGAGGGAGAGGGAGAGGGAGAGGGAGAGGGAGAGGGAGCACATGTATCTCACAGCAGCTGCATGTTCGCCCAGCACGTGCAGGCTTGACGCCTTGGCGTGCATGATCTCGAGCTCGCCCGGCCAGCGGGGTGTGCACATGCATGCAGGTGAGAGCATGGCATGGGCATGGTGTTGTTGGTGCATGTGAGGGAGAGGGAGAGGGAGAGGGAGAGGGAGAGGGAGCACATGTATCTCACAGCAGCTGCATGTTCGCCCAGCACGTGCAGGCTTGACGCCTTGGCGTGCATGATCTCCAGCTCGCCCGGTCAGGAAGACGTGCACATGCATGGAGGTGAGAGCATGGCATGGTGGTGTTGCTGCATGTGAGACAGAGAGGCGGCACACAAGACTCACAGAAGCAGCATGTTCCCCGAGCACATGCAGGCTGGAGGCCTTAGCGTGCATGATCTCCAGCTCGCCTGGGAATGATTTCAGCCCCGCGTCTGCCATGGGAATCACCCCCCTGGCGAGGGAAAGAAGAGACGAGGCAAGGTGCGGGGGAGGAGAGGAGAGCAGTTTAGAGGGTAGCAGAGGAGACGTGCAGGCTGGAGGACTGTGCATGCATGCATGATTTCAAGTTCGCCTGGGAACGCTCTCAGCCCTGCGTCTGCCATTGGAATCACTCTCCTGGAGCATCGCACATGCACACATGACACAGGGGTTGGGCCGGTGGAGAGCAGGTGAGACAAGGTGTGGTGGAATTCGAGACGAGATGAGTGATGGAGGGAGAGCGGTGGGTGGTGAGTAGTGAGCGGTGGGTGGTGGTGAGTGGTGGTGGTGAGTGGTGGTTGTTGTTGTTTTTTTTTTTTTTTTTATCTTATACAATACATGAATGCAAAGACATCGGCAGTCGTAACTGTTGGTCGTGGTGGTGGTGGTGAGTGGTGGTGGTGAGTGGTGGTGGTGAGTGGTCACCAATGATCTCCCAGCAGCCGCTTCTGCAGCACCAGGTTGTGATGCGTCTCTAGTATCCTGCCAGGGAAATGGATTGATAGCGAGGGAGAGAAAGAGTGAGTAAGCCAGAATAAGCGAGTGAAAATGGAGCGAGGGCGAGCGAGCGCGAGGGAGGGAAGGGAGTGAGGAAGCACAAGCATGGACCAGGCGAAGCCAGAGACAAACGGACCCTGAAAGAGAGCATCAGAGAAGGACGGCGGGCAGGCAGGGAGGCAGCAAGGGAGGGCGTGAGGATCAGGACAGAGAAGCAAAGAGCAAAGAAGAGCAGAGCAAGCAGAGCACATACTGTCCCAGCTCAAGCGAGAGCAACAGGTCCCTCTGAGCCTCATCCGTCTCCCCCAGCAGGCGGTGCAGGCGCCCCTTCTCCTTGCGCACCTCTGCATCCCCTGGCAGCAGCTCCACCGCCCGCGCCAGGTACGGCTGTGCTGGTCGGAACTGGTTCGACCGCACAAAAGAAAATCCCTGGGGGGAGTGGGGGCGGGAGCATGGTTGCAGCGGGGAGGCAGTGGAGAGGATGGGTGGGAGAAGCAGTGTTGGAAGGCGAGGGAGAAGAGGGCGTGGGTGCAGTGGAGCAACAGCTGGGTTCGTTTTACCTGCGATTCCACCTGCCCTAAGGCAGTTCACCTGGGAATTCACCTGGGAATCCACCTGGGAATCCACCTGTGGCTCAAATCCATCCCCCAGGCTGGGCTGGCCGGGGCGGGGCTGCTTGTCTCGAGTCTCACCACGGCTCGGTTGAGGTCGGCGTCGTTCGGCAGCATGTGCAGCACGGGCAGCAGGTCTTTGAGGGCGTCCTTGAAGCGGTAGCAGTTGAACGCGCTCAGCCCTGCGCGGGGGGGGGGGGGGGGGAAGGGGGAAGTTGGGGGGGGAAGGGGAAGGGGGAAGTTGGGGAGGGGGGGGAGAAGGAGGAAAGGGGGGCAGGAGGTCTTTTAGGGAGTCCTTGAAGCGGTAGCAGTTGAACGCGCTCAGCCCTGCACAAGGGACGGGGGCATGGGGGGGAGGAGGAAAGTTTTGACAGGGGAGGGAGGAGAGCCGTGCGAGTTGGGATGGGGAGGCGCTAAAGACGGCAGTGGCAGTGCAAAAGTGCGTTCTTCTCAGAGCACACAGACCACACCACACCGCACCGCACCGCACTGCACCGCATCACACCGCACCACATTGCACCGCACCTCGTCGCATGAGCGCCTCTTCACTGCTGGCTACAGCTCCAGTGCGCGGCTGAAATGCTCCTGCGCCCTCTCGTGATACCCTGTGAGTCGACTCACAGCTCACCCCATGCTCGGTCCCTCCCCTTTCCCCTCGCCCCATCCCACGCACCTCGTCGTTTGAGCGCCTCTGCATCGCCGGGCTGCAGCTCCAGGGCACGACTGAACGCCTCAAACGCCCTCTCGTGCTGCCCCAGAACCTCCCGCTCTGCTCCCACCTCCATCCACAGCTCTGCATCGTCCGGATTGGCGCTCACTGCCTGTGAGGGAGGAGGGGCGCAGTGGAGAGGCCCGAGAGCACGGCTTTTGAGGCGCCTTAGAAGCTGAACGGCTCAAACGCCTTCTTGGGTTGCCCTAGTGCGTCGCGCTCCGCCCCCACCTCCATCCGCAGCTCTGCATTGTCCGGGTTGGCGCTCACTGACATGCTTCGCACGACATGCTTCACACGACATGCTTCGCACGACACGCTTCGCACGACACGTTTCACACCAGGCGCGCTCACCTGCTCGAAGTCTGCTACAGCCGGCTCGTGCATCTGTAGCAGCGACTTGGCCACGCCGCGCCCATGCAACAGCCGCTGGTGTAGCCGCCGCAGCAGCCTCTCCGCCTGTGGGGACAGCGGAGGGGGCGGGTGCGAGCAGCGGAGGGAGGAGGCTTTAAGGGAGGAGGCTTTTAAGAAATCGGCGTTATGGAACGGGAAGAAAAGGAGTTTCCTTTTTTAGGGCTGGTAAGAGCTGGAGATCCTCCCTTGCTGCACCTAGGTACATCTGGCCTCTCACCTCGTTACATCTCGCACCTCACCTCGTGAAACTCGCCACGCACCTCGCTACACCTGTGCTCGCACCTCGTTACGACTGGGCTCGCACCTCGTCTCGTCTTGCCTCTCACCTCGTTACATCTGGGCTCGCACTTTGCTAGCGCACCTGTTTTCATCTTGCATCGCGCCTCGTTTCATCACGCACCTCGTCGTATGTGGCGACGGCCTCTTCGAGCCGCTCGCCTTCCAGCTGGTCGCGTCCCTCGGCGATTAAAGCCATCATTCGCTCGCTCACGCGCCGCGCCACCTCCGCCTCGCTGCTTCCGCCGCCGCCGCCGCCGCCGCCGCTGCTGCTGCTGCCGTCACTGCTTCCGCTGGTGCTGGTGGAGCCGTTATCGTCATCGACTAGCCCTCCGTCGTTGACGGCGGCATCAATCCGCGACGACTCCTTCGCGTCGCGCTCACGAGAACCGGCGGGAGTCGGCGAACACGTCTCCTCACTTCCTAGACAAAAACCACCGAACGGCGATTCTGGCGCAACTTCCGCCGCAACTGACGCTGCCGGATCCACCGCAGCGTTTGCCGCCGGATCTAACGCAGGAACGCTAGTGCTCTGAATGCCAGGCGCAGTGAGATTAATCGGACTACCTCCGTCGTCCAGCTGCTCCATCAGCGGCAATCGCGTCGCGTGACTACCGGCGCATTCGAACGTGCCGATGAGGACAACCAATGCCGCCCAAGCTACTAGACTCCTGCTCAGTGACCGAGTCAAACCATCCAACGGGGACGCCATTGGCGGCCGAAACATAGAGCTTGAATCTCGATCAGACGCTTGCCGCGCGCATGGGCGAGAATTCGATTCGACTAGATTCGTTAAACAGGAAATTTTAAAGGAAGAGAATAATCGTTCGAGCAACGTGTTAGGAAGCAGCCGAGAACGGAAGGAGTGCTGCATTAGTAGAAACGGGCAATGGTAAGAGTACTTTTTTTTAAGAAAGGTTGTCTGATGCTCGAGCCCAACGAAAGTGAATCTGAATATACAGGGAGCCGGTTGAGGCGACTCCACGCGATGGCATGAGGCTGCGATGCGATGCGAGTGACTGCAGCCAATTTCGTACAAACTAAGTTTTTTTAGGACAACTAGGCGTAGAGGGTGTCAAGTCAAGTTGGTGTCCGTCTTTCCCGAGAATGTGCATGAGAAATGTGCAGTCACCGACGACTTTCTGAGGAGTTCTTGTCAATGTTTGCATGGATGAGTGATGTGATGACTCTGAATCGTGATGTTGCTGCTGATGCTCCTTGTGTTCCAGGAAGTGGGTCCGTAAATTGATTATAGAAAGGTGGAGCAAGCTTTCGTAAGGTTTCAAGCGTTAAATTCAGAATATCGTACGGTGAAAGGCGATCATCCCTCCTCGTTCTTGCAGGGAGGATACTGTACAGTCAGAAGGTCAACTGCACGCACCACCAATCTGAGCTGGGCCACTGTTCACTCGCTTCGCTCCCACGCGCATGATGCCAGATTGCCTAGTGTGGGCCGCTGTCGTCGTCCTCCATCAGTTCTGCTGCTCCAACATGCGGTCTTGTCGCCAATCATCCAGCCCACTCAGCTGAGAATCCTTGATAGTTGTTGCGAGTGCAATGGAGTGAGCGAGCGAGAATTGCACTATCGAAGCAAGAGTACAATGAGCGAAGGTATGAGAGAAGAATATATAGCGAAACTACAGTGGTGACGGTAATGTGTGGAAAATGGGGTGCGCGACGGGCCTAGCGCCGAGGTTGGGAATTGTCGAGGCAGAGGTCCGGAGCGCGGGTTACCAACCGAACCGAGAGGTTGGGTCTCGTCGTGAACAGTGGCGGGAGCAGTGTCGAGGCGAGTGTCGCGTGTGGTAACGGATTACTGTTGGGTGCTGTTGGCGGGAAACAGTGGTGTACGCGCTGAGCAGGGACGCGAAGTAAGGAAAAGGAAATTTCCTTACACTACCCCCCCCCCCCCCCCCCTCCACCCCCCTAAGGAGGCCCTCCTTACGAAAGCGCGTATACATCCCGGAAATTTTGGCTGCGCAGATACTTGGTGAGGATGGGGTGGTTTTCAGCTCTGTCCAGGGGAACCCAGTTGTCTTCAGTGGGCGTACGGTCTTTCCAGCGGATCAGAAATTCGATCCTTCGAGCTCCCCGTGGGTCACGAACTCGGTGGCTCATAATCTTTTCGGGCGTGATGATTGGTTCTGTCGGCGTCGTGTCATGCTGGCTGGGCGGTTGCGGGGTAGTTGGCTGGTGGATGGTACGTAAGGGCAAAGCAGGCTGACGTGGAAGGACGGACTGACGTACCAGTTAGCAGGGAGGAGGAGGTGGGCGGTGACAGGTGTGATCATGTGGCTGATGCGAAATGGCCCGCAATATCGGGGGCAGAGTTTCGGGGTGATGGGCAGGCGGAGGTTTTGGGTGTCGAGTAAAACTAGGTCGTCGGGCTGGTAAGTGACAGGTCTGTGGTGGCGGTCGGCGTTGCGTTTAGCGATGACGTTGGCCTTTTTAATTGCGTCGGCTGCCCGGGTCCGTGCTGCTTGTAAGATTTATGCGAACTGTTGCGCGCATGGTACTGGGTTGTCGGGATTCGGGGTCATGGGTACTGTAGGGTCTTGTCCGTAGTTCAGGTAAAACGGTGACTGTTGGGTCGTGGCGGATGGTGAGTTGTTGTACGCGAATTCGATGAGTAGGAGTTGCTGTTCCCAGGTGGTCGGATCATCACACGTGGCTCGGATGAGTTGCTCCACGGTCTGGTTTGTCCGTTCAGTCTGTCCGTCGGTTTCGAGGTGGTACGAAGAACTAAACTGTAGTCGTGTGCCGAACTGCTGCCACAGGTTCCGCCAGAAGTTGCTGGTGAATTTCGTGTCGCGGTCGCTGATGATCGCTGCTGGTATCCAGTGCAGACGAACGACGGTGGAGATGAAGAGGCGGGCTGTTTCTTCGGCTGTGATTGATTTCTTGCAGGCTGCGAACTGTGCCATTTTCGTCAGCCGATCGACGACGACCAGGATCGCGTCGTTCCCACTTGCTCCAGCCGGTAACCCCGTGACGAAGTCCATCGTCACCTGCTGCCAAGCACGCTCTGGGGGTGGTATCGACTGCAACTGACCTGCCGGCCGCTTCCGTGATGATTTCATGAGTTGGCATGTGGGACACGATGCCACGTGTCGTTGCACGTCGGTCAGCATTTCGGGCCAGTAATAATACCGCTGCAGCTGCTGCCGTGTTTTTTCTACTCCGAAATGGCCTGAGGTAACTCCGTCGTGTGCCTCTTGTAGCAGTAATTCCCATAGTAACGTGTAGCTCGGTACCCAGATTCGGTCGATGCCGGCTTTTACGTAATAAACTCCCTTTGCTGCTGCGAACTGCTACGAAGTTCCTCCTGTGAAGAATGGGCCAGTCTGATAGCCGTGGGTAAATAGTCCTGTCAGTAGTGGGCTGGTCTGGGCGACTAGTATGGCATGGATTTGGGCCGTGGGGCGGGTCAGTGCGTCGGCGATGTTCGATGCCCCCTTTTTGTAGGTGACCATGTAGTGAAAAATTGACTCGAGGAAATCGAGCCAGCGAATCTGTCGTGGGTTAAGGTGGGGCTGTGCGCGGAGGTACTGTAGTGATTTATGGTCTGTCCGTACTGTCACGTCTGTGCCGGTCAAGTAACAGTGCCACACTTTGAACGCGCGCACGATCGCGAGCATTTCGCGATCGTGTATCGGGCAATTTTTCTCGGGCGGATGCAGTTTTCGTGACTCGTGTGCGATGGGCTGTAAACCGTTGCCGAAATCCTGTAGCAGTACGGCTCCAATGGAGATGTCGCTTGCGTCTGTAACTACTTCGAATGGGTGGTGTGGGTCGGCGATGCGGAGTACGGGCGGTGAACAGAGAACATTTTTCAGGGCAGAGAAGGAAGCATGCTCTTCCCCCCCCCCCCACGTAAAAGCGACCCCCTTTCTCAGCAAATCCGTCAGTGGTGTCATTAACCTCGCCATGTCGGGGACGAACCGGCGCAAGTAATTAACGAACCCTAAAAAACTCTGCAGCTCCGTGATATTTGTCGGGGGGGTGCCACGCGTTGACCGTGTCCAGCTGGGTCGATCTCAACCCCAGCCTCCGAAATAAACGGGCCCCAGAAACTCTAGCCTGTCCTGAAAAAACTCGCACTTAGAACCCTTGGTCAGTAGCCTGTGCTCGTCTAAATTTTTAAAAACTGCTTCCAGATCTGCTAAGTGCTGCTGCTTGTCGCGACTGTAGACGAGGATGCCGTCGAGGTAAACTATCACGCATTTATCTAAGAGTGGCCTAAACGCATCGTTCATGGTCATCTGGAATGTCGCCGGTGTGTTGGTCAGCCCGAAAGGCATCATTGTGTACTCAAATGACCCGTACCTAGTCCTAAATGTTGTCTTGGCGCAGTCCGATGGTTCGACCCGAATCTGATGGTAACCTCCCCGTAAATCGATTTTCGAAAAGACCCGTGCTGCTCGCAGTTGATCTATCAGTTCGTCGGCGCGGGGAATGGGGTATCGCGATTTGACTGTAACCCTGCTCAGTGCCCTGTAATCGATGCACATGCGAGAAGCTCCGTCCTTTTTTGGTGTGAACAGTATTGGTTGGGGGAAATGGTGACGAGCTCGGTCGGATGTATTTTTTCTCTAACAGGTAATCTAACTGCTTCCTCAGTTCGTCGAGCTCGTGCTGTGTCAGTCTGAACTGTCGCTGTACGGTTGGCTGTGCCCCGGGTTTTTGTCAGAATCTAGAACGAGAATGAATGAACTATGAACAGAGTTGGGTACAAGTACTAACCCTAATTGGGTTGTACCCCATATGGGCTACCCCACTATAGCCTACACAAAGTAAGCACTATAACATTTTGACACAACCCCATAGGCATGTCAGATATATATGCCTTAGCCTATGTAGGCTGTAGTGGGGTAGACACTAAGGGGTACAGGTTTCATATTTGTATCTCATACTTTCTTAGTTCATTCATTCCTGTTAATTTTCACATGGTATAGAGCGGGTTCCCTCATGGGACCGTTCCTTCCTAAGGGCCCACCATAACAATTTTTTTAGCTGCCCGAAGCGAGTCTCGCGCCCTGCCCTGAAATCTTTTTTTTTTTTTCGCGGCCCCTACGTGGCCCCTTCGTCGCCTAGCGCGCCCCTACGCGGCCCCTACGCGGCCCCTACGCGACCCCTACCCGGCGCCTAGCGCGCCCCTACGCGGCCCCTACGCGGCCCCTACGCGGCCCCTACGCGGCCCCTACGCGGCCCCTATGCGGCCCCTGCGCCGCCCCTACGCGGCCCCTACGCAGCCCCTACGCGGCCCCTGCGCCGCCCCCTACGCGGCCCCTACGCGGCCCCTACGCCGCCCCTACACGGCCCCGTCGCGGCCCCGTACCTGACCTGCCCCGGCCCCGACCCTGTCGCGGCCCCGTCCCTGACCTGCCTCGGCCCCGTCCCTGACCTGCCTCGGCCCCCTACGCGGCCCCTGCGCGGCCCCTAAGCGGCCCCTACGCGGCCCCTACGCCGCCCCTACACGGCCCCGTCGCGGCCCCGTACCTGACCTGCCCCGGCCCCGACCCTGTCGCGGCCCCGTCCCGGACCTGCCCCGGCCCCGATCCTGTCCCAGACCTACCCCGGCCCCGTCGCGGCCCCGTCCCGGACCTGCCCCGGCCCCGACCCTGTTCCGGCCCTACCCCGGCCCCGTCGCGGCCCCGTCCCGGACCTGCCCCGACCCCGACCCTGTCCCGGCCCCGTTGCTGCCCCGTCCCG